TAAAAATTTTAAAAAGAAGAGCTTTGAACAGACATACCACAAAAAATTACAGATGGCAAATAAACATGAAAAGTGCAACATTGTTAGTCTACAAGGAAATGCAAATTAGAAACACAATGAAATATGACTACAACCCACTAGAATGACTAAAAATTAAAAACACTAACTATACCAAGTATTACAAGGATGTGAAGAGTCACTGGAATGCTCATCCACTGCTGGTGGGAATGCAAAATGGTGAAATCACTGTGTAAACAATCTGGCCATTTCTTAAAAAGTTAAACGTATACCCACTATTCAGCCAAGCCATTGCCCTCTTAAATATTTATCCAAGAGAAAAGAAAAACATATCCTCACACAGACCTATAGACAAACGTTCAGAGTAGCTTTATTTACACAGCCAAAAGCATAAAAATCCAATATTAATAGGTAACTAGATAAACATTTGTAGTATATCTGTACAGTAAAAAGGAAGGAATTACATATGCAACAATATGAATCAAACTCAAAATAATTACACAGAGTCAAAAAAGATAGACCTTCCCCACTCCAAAAAAAGAAAACCCATACATAATACAAAGAATTTATAGAACAGAAATTAACCAGTGATTGCCTGGATAACATGGGTGGAGAGTTTTGGGGACTTATGAAAGGGAAAAAATAAATTTCTGGGTTGATGGATATGTTCATTATCTCGATTGCAGTGATAATTTCATGAATGTATACATAAGTCAAAACTCATCAAATTGTTTACTTTAGATACAGTCATGCACCACCTAATAATGTTTTGGACAACGACAAGCCACAAAATGTAAAAATATGATATTGTAATTTTATGGGACCACTTTATGACAGTGGTCCCATAAAATTTCAATATCATATTTTTACTGTACCTTTTCTATGTTTACATGTGTTTAGATACACTTACCATTTAGGGTTTAGAACACTTTCAATTGCTTTATAATTACCTACAGTATTCAGTATAGTAACATGCTGTGCAGGTTTGTAGCCTAGGAGCAATAGGCTATATACAGTATATATACAGCCTAGGTGTGTAACAGGCTATATCATCTAGATTTGGGTAAATGCACTCTGTGATGTTCACGCAACAATGAAATTTTCTAACATGCTGATATTGTTTGGAATTTTGACCTGCCCAAATCTCATGCTGAATTGGAGGGGCCTGGTGGAAGGTGATTGAACCCTGGGGCAGATATTCCCCCGGCTGCTCTTGTGAAAGTGAGTGAGTTCTCAAGAGATCTGTTCATTTAAAAGTGTATGGCACCTCCCCCTTTGCTCTCTCTTCTGCCACCATGCGAAGAAGGCGCTTGCTTCTCCTTTGCCTTCTGCCACAATAGTAAGTTTCCTGAGGCCTCCAGTCATGCTTCCTGTTAAGCACAGAACTGTGAGTCAATTAAGCCTCTTTTCTTCATAAATTACTCAGTCTCAGGTAGTCGGTTATAGCAGTGTGAAAACAGACTAGTAAAGCATTTCTCAGAATGAATCCCCATTGTTGGGCAAAGCATGACTATATGCGTAGTGTATTATACCTTAAACATACCTCGATAAAAATGAAATAAAAAGCAACATGTTGGTGATCTTTGGCTCCCTTTTCCCATTTGAGGGGCTGTAGCATCTGTTTCTATCCTATAGTGCTAACTACAGTGACGGCATGAGTGCCTTCTCTTAGTGCCAGCCCCTGAGACCTCCTAAGACCTGTCATCACTAGGAGGGTTCTGCTGGCATTGTCATTTGCTGATTAGACTGCCCATCCACAAAGAACTAAAAAGGCAATAATTGCTTAGATATTGCATGTTGGTGACATTGGTGGCCTCGTCTTAGGTAATCTTCATCATTAAGTATGGATTAAGTTACACCAATCATTTTAGAGTCAAAGGCACAGCTTGGAGGTCATCTGAGTCCCAGTCTGCCAAATGACAGTGTCTGAGCACATCTTTCATTTCCACAGACCCTTGCCATACCTCATCCTTGAGTCTCACTTCACATCTTTATTTATACCCCTGATTATGTGTCCTGAAAGCTTATTTGTTTTAACTTTTCAGTGTCTCTTTTCCTGACCCATAATCAGGCAAACCCAGAGCCACATAAAGACCACAATTCACCAAGACAGATTTATTTCCCAGAAAGTTTCTTCTTGAGTATAGGTTAAGCATGGGTTTGCGAGTTAGAAATTTATATGAACAGTGTTTGGGAAGATGATAGTGATGTTTCTTGACAGGTATTTATTATTTTAACATCAGTTTTCTCTATGTCTGTATATATTAAATAGAAGAAAATAGTATAACTTATATTATACCTGAAACGCTGCCTGCAATAGTAGAAATTACCACAAATTTTGTGCTCAGATCTGGACGCAAAGCCCATTTGTATAGTTTCCAGCTACATGACCTTGGGCAAGTTTCTTTTGTGAACCTCAGTTTTCTATTTTGTAATGTAGGATAATTGTTGAAAGGATTTAATAAGATATTTTCTTTAAAGAATCTTGGACAATTAAGTCATAGTAAAGTGGATCAAATCATGGGATCAGAAGCCAGACAGTCCACATTTCGGTCTTGACCTCATCACTTATTTTGTAACACTCTGCACCTCAGTTTCCTCATCTACAAAATAAGGATAATGGCATCCAGCTTCTAAAGTTAGTATGTGGGTAAATTAGTTAATGCATGTAAAACATTTACAGCAGTACCAGGAAAAAGATACAGACTCAATAAATGTTAGCTACCATTATGCTTACTGTTGCAGTTATTTGTTATAATGTCTGCCACATAATCGGTGTTGGAAAAATAGAAGGGATTGTTCATTTAAAACCCTCTCTTTTTGGTTTCAAACAACTTCTCCCTCCTGCAGCCTCTTAAGTATTTCCGAGAAACCCCAGTGTTCTTCAGATCACAGTAAGAATGATACATTCTATATGTGTATTGCTCAGCAAACCAAATAGAATGATAACTAATGTGAGATTTTAATTATGTATTTCAGTGATGCTGCTTTGTAAATCAAAGCTAATTGATTCTGAGTACTTGCTACTTCTTTAACCCTCCTACCAGCTCGGAAGCAAGCATGCAATTTTCCATGTAAACAGCAAGGCTGCTTCTAGAAAGAATATTCAAAACAAGCAGAGTGCCATCTACACAACAGCAACATCAAGGCTAGGGATTTAGACTTACCATACTGAGTTCCACCCCTGGTATGTATCTTAGAAGGGGGAACGATGCTGCCTCACTGTAAAGTTAGGTAAGCATGGCTTCATCCTCTGGCAGCCATCCTTTGACTTTTGTCCTTCAGAAAATGGTGCAAACTTTTTGCACCAATGATTCTTTCTTAACCATCCCCTGGCACACTCCTTAATTTAATGGATTCAGTAATTTAATCAGCTGTTTGAAAAGCAGTACTTTTATTTGGCTAAAAGCCTAATTTTCAAATTTATGTTTACTCACACTGAATTTGGCATGCAAATTTAATTCCTAAAGTAGAAAATAAGAAGAACTGATGGGTGTAGGTTAAAAAATGAAGCTAGTAAAGTTTGGCCATCTAACCAAACTCCACATACTCCCGTGATCCCTACAGCTGTCCCTTAAGTATTTCTTAGAAACCCCAAATGTTCTTTGACTAACACTGAAAACTTCTTCCCTAAAGTTACTTTGTTCACTGAGTTTTCCAAAGAAGCCTCTGGATTGTTGTATTTGCGTATCTCATGAAAAACCCACATCCCCACCCTTGACTTCACTGGTTTGTGCTTTGATACAGCTCAACATGTTGACTTTAAGCTGTCTACTTTCCAAAGGGAAAAATCCTAAATTTTTCAATACATCAAAAAATCCTTCTTTCTACCCAATGATCCATTTCTCTAATTATTTAATAATTAAGAAAAAAAGACCAAAATGTTCAAGATTCTTTAATCTTGATGTCTGTCTCTAGAGTTTGATTTGAAGTCAAATAATAAGGCAAACTCAGAGAAAATAATGAGAGCTCGAAAGGACCCTGAAAGGCAAATCCTTGAGATGGAATCCTTGTATGCTGAGCGGAATAGTCATTGGCTTACAGATTTGCAGACCTGGATCCTCATTAAGCCTGTCACAAGCTGCTTCTGTAACCTGTCCCAGGTCAGTTAGCCTCTCTGGACTTTAGGGTAATCCACCATGCTTACCTCATAGCATGGATGACCCTAATGAGAAACTACAAGGGAAATCGAAAGATTCTACAAATGGAAGAAATCATATGTTTTTCTTTTTCATGGGAAAAAAAAAAAAGGTAGGGGGACTTGCCCCCTGGAGTTTGAATTGGCTCTGGTTTCTCTTTATTTTCTTGCATGCACAAATGCCTTTTTATGTGAAGACACTTTTTTCTTTAAGAATTGGAACTTTGGTTGCCCTACTTAAAGTCAAAAATGCCTACAAGCAGCCGTCTTTAACTCCTACACATATAGCCAATTAGAGGGATGTACGCTCATCCTGGGCCTTAGAGAATCTTCTTCTGATCCTTGCAGTTAGAACCTCGTGTTCAGAGCTGCTTAGTTATTATATCTAATGACCTAGTTCAACCAAGACAAAAATGTAAAATATACTTTTTCTTTCTCTTGTCCCCCACCACACACACATGTCCGATGTGCGTGATGTGCATGCTTTCAGTACACACACACACACACACACACGCACACACACATTTCTTTTCTCCAGACCCTTTGTGTGAGGCATTTTAGAATTCCTCCTGCCGAGCTTTCATGAAGCTCCAGAGTGACCAAGGAAATGCCCCTAGGGACACACATCAGTTCTGATGGACCATTCTGACCAGCAGTCAAGAGTCCCCAGAAGAGCATGAAAGCACTAGGTACCTGAGAACCAGTCCTTTGGGTATTAGGGAAAGTGAAAGGGCTAGCCCACTATCAGTTACCGTGGCAACTCAGATCCACTACCTGCTTAGTTCATCTTGTCATTGTGGAAGACTTGAGGGAAAAACAACATTAAGCTTCTCTCTGTTTTTTGTCAAATATTTTGAAATGACATTTTATCACAAGAGTCTGAAACACCTTTTTAGGAGTGAAAAGGAGACCATCAGAGAGAGAGAGAGAAAGGGGGAGCAATGAGCCTGGGTCTGAGGACATATTTGAGGGGAAGGGACTGTGGCTGATGTGGTCAGTACCAATAAAACAGAGAGAGGAGGAAAGGAAAGCACTAAATATGTATTGAGTGCCCACCTCAGGCCTGATGCTATGCTTAATAATGCGCATGCTGTGGCCTTTCTGAGACCTCTGTCTGGAAAAGAAAGGCAGCTGTGACTGCATGAACAGGAGCTGCCAGGGCATCTGCACAGGGCACACTGCGGGCATGGGCGGGACACTGACACCGGTGTTTGGAGGGATGGGTGGAAGGCAGATTTCTCACAGGAAATATCTATGCTAGAATCTAAAGAAAGTATAGGGGAGAGCAGGTGAAAAAGTCCTGGAACATTTCTGGTTGAGACAGCGAACCATGCAGAGGCCCTAAGGAGTGAGACAGCTCAGCTTAAAAGACTTCAAGAAGTTCCTTTTGGCTGGAGTGGAGCCTGAGAGGACTTAGGGCAAAAAAATGAGCATGGCTGGAGAAGCTAGCAGGGTCTCTGAATTATGACATCACTTATAATAAGTCATGTTTAGAGGGGCTGCAATTTGTCTGGACCGTAATAAAGAGCCATTAAAGTCTGTGAAGGAGGTTTGTGAAAACATCATACCAGCAGCAGAGTGGAGGCTAGTTCTGGAGCCAAACAGTGTTGGGTAGAGGGAATGAGGGAGACATTCTAAAGTGAAGAGTGTAGGTCATGGATCAGAAAAGCATGGCAGCCGTGGAGATTAAGTGATATGCATGGGTCCTGGAAATTTTATGACTTAGAACCAACAATAGTTATTGTGGGTGAAAAATGAAGTTTACATTGCTGGGTGACTGAGTGAATGGCAGTGCCCCTCACTAAACAGGAGTCAGTGATGGAGGGGCCGGCTGGGGCTATTTGCTTGATAAGAAGTCAGGTTGGGCCAGGTGGGTCAGGCTAGGTTAAGCCTTTAGAATAGCACTTGTCAAGCTTTTGTGTGAGCGTGTGCATGGGTATGTCCAGAGTCCAAAACAGGTCTCATGGAATACAATGAGAAGATGGCATAGCTTAGGACATGACATGGGTGATTCTATTACGGAATGAGATTACGTGTAGACTCCAACATGCGGTGCACGAGAGCAACCACAACAAAACAATTTAGAGCATCTTTTTATTCTCTATCTTTAATTAAAACCTGTATACTGTCTGTACCTTTCATTACTGCTACCTACCCATGAAAGACTGGAGGTGAGCCATAGCCATAAAAGATGGAGGAGATTTAATTTTGCTGTTGGTAATTGAACCAGAATGTTGAATGTGGAGTTCAACATTCTCATTCAGGTTCAGAGAAATTTACAGTGAGAATGCTAAAAGTGGCACATGGTAGAGTGCTGTGAGGATAGTGTGTGTCCTATATGAGTAGTTCCTGGTGGTGACCGACAAGCTGGCTAGAAGGTCCCTACTGTGATTCACACACATGCTTACTTATCCCTGTTCTTTCTTCCAGCAAGTCCAGTGTTAAACTCATCACCTTCTGGTGTTCCATGTCTTTCTTCAAAGGCTGAGTTCATTTATATATACAGCCACATGAGATCTTGGTTTTTGCCATTCAAAATGCCAGGTGTAAGATCCAGCACCATAACTAGGTGATGTGTTCATCTTAAGCAAGTTGCTTAAATTCTCAGAGTTTCCTTCTCTGTATTGGAGGGATGACAGCAACAATCGTGAGCCCACCCCACCAGTGGCAATGAGGGATGAATAAGACAAGGCCTGAGAAGGAGGGGTGGAACCTGGAACAGGTGTTTGGGCTTCCTATCATAGCATGAGGAGGCCAGCTGTGGAAAGAAGAGGCGTGAACCCCCCAGTTCCTTCTTCCTGCAGCCCTGCCGTGCATGTCTAGCTCTCTCTGGGAGGCATTTGCTCAGAGTAACCTTGAACCATCTGTAGGAGAGTAGCAAGGCTGAGAAGATAGAATTCCTTATGTGTAACAGAGATGCCACTCCCAGGCATTTCTTCTCCCACATGAATTAGACAATGAATGAATCTCTCCCTGCACCCTCACTATGTGTCCGCTGCCTAAGGCATAACCTTGAGCACGGTTCCCAAATATAGTGGGACTCACTTCTGGAGTCGCAGAAAGAATATGCATTTGGATCCAGGTTACCTCAATGCACCTCTGACATTTACTAGGGGTGTGGTCTTGGATAAATGATTTAACTTTTGAAGGTATCTATGTCTTCATCTGTACAACGAATCATTCCTCCCAAACATTAGAGATCATTTATACAAGGGGCCAAGTGCAGGGCCTAGCACAGAGTAGGCACTCAAGGAGTAGCTACATTATTTTACTCCTAAAAATTTATAATAATAAGAGTTTATGCTCCCCCCAGCCCTTTAGCCCACCCTCCCTTGAACTTGCATGAATAATAATGGCTGCATAATAATTTCCCTCAGTCCTGAAAGAAGCATCTAAACTCAGTGGTTATGAAACCAATATACATCAGAGAGGATTGGAAGAAAATCCTGTCTGTGACTCTAGCCCTGTGACTACTCAGAAGTCTCAAGTCTGCACCACTTTTGCTGGCATCTGGAAGTTACTCCTGCATCCTGAAGCACCCCTGCAGAAGTCAGGTCTGGTGAGAGTGGGCGGCCCTCTCTGCAGGCAGAGGGCAGGAGGCAGGGGAGCTAGAGAGAGATGTCTAGCTGGGCCTGTGCTCCCCAGCACTCTTTTGTACCCAGTGGCTGTGTGAAGGGTGGATGAAGGGTATTTGATTTTAATTGGGAAATGCTATCAATTGTCCTGGGCTCATTTAAAAATCCATTAGTATCAGGAAGTGGATAGATTAAGCAATGAGGAAGGGAAAAGAAAAAGCTGTCAGCACCCTGCTTTGTAGGGAGTATACGGCCTGTCTAAGCCTCACCAGCAAGAGCTGTCCTGAATGCTAAGAAGCCTGTTAAAGTCAATTTCAAGATGCTGGGGAAGGAGAGGAGGTGTCTGGGCCAATTCACAAGAAGTCCTGGGTAAGCTTATTGTTCTCGCAGCTTCCAAAAGCGGTACTGCAGTAATCTACACTGCACGTTTCAGATTCCTGCAGCTGTTTCTGGAAGCCTGGCAACTGTGCCACCCAGCTGTAAGCCACATCAACACCTGCAAATAGCGAAACCTTCTACCCCCTTCCTTGTTGCTGAACGCTCAGCTGGACCCAGATACCTCTTCATCCTGGGAGCCATCAGTCAGGTTAAGGGTCTATGGTGGACCTTGAGACAAACAGGGAGAAGGATGATAGAAATGTGCCAGAGGATGAATCAGAAGAGAGCAAAGAGGGGGAAAGATAAAAGCAAGCTCTGAGAACAAGAAATGAAAGAGAGCTATAACAGGGCTGTATATTAGCTTCCTAGGGCTTCTGTAATAAAGTACCACAAACCAGCTGGCTTAAAACAGCAGAAATGTACTTGTACAGTTTTGGAGGCTAGAAATCTGAAATCAAGGCGTTGGCAGGACCATGCCCCCTCTGAAGCCTCTAAGTGGGGATCCTTCCTTGCTTCTTCCAGCTTCTGGTGGCCCCAGATATTCCTTGGCTTGTTGTAGCCTCACTCCAATCTATCCTCTGTCTTCCCCTGGCCACCTTTCTGCTGTGTCTATGTCTTCTAATAAGGACGTATTGTTTTAGATTAGAGTCTACCTCATCCAGTAAGACCTCATGTTAATTTGACTACATCTGCAAAGTCCCTATTTCTGAATAAGGTCACATTTATAAATATTAAGGGTTAGGACTTCAGCTTACTTTTTGGTGGGGCATGATTCAACCCATACCAGGCTGTTTAGAGGACTGCTGTCTGGTTAGTTCAGTACAGCACCGTAGAAGGCCCTGGGAAGCTTGAAAAAGTACTAATCGGGAATCCAGGGTCACAAGCTGAAATGCCTGCAGAGGCCAGGCGGGTAACATCATAGGTTCTAGAAGAGGAAACTGGTGACTGTCCTTTAGCCCAGAATCACTGGGACAACAGTGAACTGGAGTACATGCCCTGGATAAGGGCAAAAGCTACTCAGCCCCAGCCGTTGTCACTTTGTGGGACTGAGGCTCAGTGATGCCAGATCAAATGAGAAGCCAAGAATCCAGATTTCTATATGAAATTTCTCAGTTTTGTTTAAAACTTAGACAGATTTTTCCCCAAACATGGTGTACAACAAACTAAGGCCATCTGTAAATAAGGCAGAACCATGGGCAGTCAATTTGCTACCACTGCTATAAAGCCTTTGGTTCAAATCCCAGTCTTGCCACTTGCTGTGCGACCTCAGGCAATTTACCTCCCATCTCTGGGCCACAATTTCCTATTGAGGAATGAGATGGCCTCAATCATCCAGTAGAGTATGGTAATAAATGGTGGTGAATATTCAGTGCTATGGGATGCCAGGCCCACACTGGAGATGCTTACATATTAGTTTAAGAAACAGAGCTTACATATTGGAAAATTGAGAGGCTGGGCACAGTGGCTCATGCTTTCCCAGCACTTCAGGAGGCTAAGCCTGGTGGATCATTTAAATTCAGGAGTTCGAGACCAGCCTAGCCAACATGGTGAAACCCAGTCTCTACTAAAAATACAAAAATTAGCCGGGCATGTGGCAGGTGCATGTAATCCCAGCTACTTGGGAGGCTGAGGCAGGAGAATCACTTGAACCTGGGAGGTGGAGATTGCAGTGAGCCGAAATTGTGACACTGAACACCAGCCTGGTCAATAAAGCGAGACTCAGTCTCCAAAAAAGAAAAGAAAATTGAGAGACCTCAGCCTCATCCAGTTGTCTTGAGCATTATATAAGTGGATCAATTCAAAGCCACTGCCCCAGCTTAACACTGAATAATTCTTCTCCTCATTCATAACTCCCAATAGGGCTTCATTCTGAGTGAGGCTGTGTAGCATTGTGGTTAAAAGCTTCGCTTCTGTATGCAGAGATGTGACAGAGAGAGCATTTAGTAGGTAAGAAAGACCAGCAGTAGAATGGAGACAGACAGAAATCCTGGAATTCTGGCTTTAATGCTACTGATGAAATCAGCTAGTCACTAGTATATATTCTACATGTGAGGCACTGTCCTAAGAGCTTTCATGGATTATTCACAATTAATCTTCATGCCAGTGCTGAAAGGTAGACATAATTACCCTTGTTTCATTAACAAGGATACAGAGAAGCTGGATTCTAGAGTTTTAAGTAAAATCTCTCAATTTATTTCAATGGCAATGGAATCAAGCATTTTTCAAACACTGTGATGTCTAAAATAAGTCCATCTGCAAACTGGGCCCAGCCCATGGGCAGCTATTTCGCAACCTTTGGTCATGAGTCATGGGTTCCAGTCCAAATTTTGCCAATTTTCTGTGTGAACTTGCGTGAGTAGCATCTATAGAGAGTAACGTCATACTCTCTGAGCCATAGTTGAGATACTCAATAGCTTGCCAAGGTCACACAGAGCTTGTACGTGGCAAAGCCCAGCATCTCAATCAGTTCAGGATCACTAAGTTTATTGATTCCATCATCTTCTGTAAGTGTTTCTGATGCTTTTTCTAAGACCTTTTTATCAATCAAGCTACCCAGATCCAGGTAGGACACACGATGATGACTCACCTGCAATGGCTGATATCCTTAACCAACTTGAATGAAGGACAGTGAGGATGAAAGAAAACGCCTGGAGGATTGCATAGATTTCTGTAAATCGGGAGGGTAAAGAAGAGGTAGGAAGTTCCCTCCGAACACTGCATCACTTGGCCTAAAATTGCATCATGGAGTTTTTGTTTTCCTCAGTCACATGACAATTTTGATTCATGCCTTAAAATAGGAGGACTCTGGGTTTAATACTGGATGTCATTTAGTCTTAAAAACTCAATGTGAAAATAAAGCTGGCTGGTGGTTTTTCATATTTAGTTTTAGCAGAAAACCTTTAAAAAATAAAATCGTACATAGAATGCCAGCATATAAAATAGAATGAGCTGGTGTTCATCATGTGCCACTAAGGCATAATAATAATGACAATGGCAATAACAGCAGCAGCAAATCCTTGCCTTGGGCCAGCCACTACTTACTCTGAGACCTTACCCATGGTAACTCATCTAAGCCTTACTACAACCCTTTGAGGAAACTGAGGCAGAGTGATATTATGTAATTTGTTCAGGGCTACAGAGCTCAGTGTGGGAGTCAGGCAGGCTGCCCCCAGGACCTGCGATCTTCCCTGCCCTGCTGCTCAGCTCCTCACCCTGTACACCACAGGGCAGGGGTGCCCACATGAGAAACAGCTGATTGCAAATGGGAGCTGACAACAGAAGCTGTGTCTCATGACCTGTAATTTGTAGTCAACTTCGAAATCGTTGTTTGCATTTACTATCTACAGAGACTTAACACATGTGAATTGTCGTTCCCCACTGACAGTTACAAAGGCCTGTCATTGTACCTGTTCCAGCTAATCTGTCACTGAAATGCTTCATATGGTCTTTCAAATAGAAATTGATGTCTGCTTCAAAGCCTAAATTATAAGTGAGACTATCCCAAGTGTTACTCTACAAATCTGTTGAAAACCTGTCCAGTTATTAGTTGTGGTTAGGAATAAACAGACCCACATTTTCTTGTATTTGCATAGACAAAAGTAGAGCTGCATGACTGAGGGGGATGGGAACCTGGGGCCCGCTGCCTGTGATCTTCCTCTCAGCAGCCCATGAGACAACTTCAGAGAACCCTGGGCTCTGGAAACTCAGAGAGCCATGGTCCTAGCAAGATAGAAACAAGTTTGTCTGCTGACTCCAGGAAAGGGAGAGAGTTGTTCTGACCTGGGGCCTGGGAGAAATGACAGCATTCAGAAGTAGGGTCAGCTTAAGGAAGTACAGAGATGCGGGGGACACAGCAATCCGCGGCCTCTGAGCCTCAGGCCAGAGGATGTTTCCAGCACCTTCTGAGAATTTGGTAATGACTCACCTCAGATTTGCAGAGGCACTGCTGGTACCTGGTTTGCCTAGAACCAAGCATAGATATTTAATTTGTATGATTGGGCTGAGGCTTACAGTGTAAATCATAAATTAAACCTCTCTTGAGCTTTGTTTTTTTACCACTTTACTGATAGAATATGACTTTTAAATAAAACATGGAATTTAAATATCAAGCTTCTGGTGAGTTGAACTAGAACAGATTTCTCAATCTTGGTATTACTGACATTTTGGGCTGGATAATTCTTTGTTGTGGGAGCTTGCCCTGTGCATTGGAGGATGATTAGAAGCATTCCTAGCTTCTGCCCACTACAAGCGACGAGGGTGCTCTCCCTCCTCCACTTTTGACAATCAAAACTGTCTCTAGGCAAATATCCCCTGGGGTGAAGGGGACAAAATTAATCCCAGTTGAGAATTCTGAATTAGATGATTTTAGAGGTACTATTTAGCTGTAGCCTTACAATCTCTTATAGTCAAATAACTTTGGAATTAAAAGTTTAACTCAGTATATTTTGGTACTGCTAAACATATCCTTTGTCTAGACTTTCTGGTTCATAGGTTAAGACTAAGATCATAGTGGTTTCCTGTCATTCCACTTGCCCTTGGCTACTTGACCTCAAGTCAGTTGCTAAAAAAAAAAAAAAAAAAAAAAAAAAAAAAAAAAAAATTAGCTTTATAATCCTGCACAGATTGACCTCTCTAGCCATCTCCTGTTGCCTCCAACTCCCTTCTTTCATCAGACTTTTTCTTCCCGCAATTATAGAACTGGAAGAAAAATTAATGCCCAGTGTCTTGGTTAAGACAATGTAGCTCACCCAGACAAGTTTTCTCTTCTCAAGGGGCATGATTTATTTTTTACTTTATATTGTTAAATTGTCTTTTTTCCATCAACTTGCTCAATAATTCCTGGTTAATTACTGGTGGCCTTAAGACACACACCCAATGTAAGCATGTGGGTTGAGAGTTGAAACTGTCTAATCAGACCACAGCCTACATTTGAATCCTGCCTCATCCATCCATGCTCTAGTTTCAGGACTGTGGGCAAGTTCCTAAAACTCTCTGCTTCAGTTTTATTATTTACAAAATGGGGGCAGTGATAGTGCCAGTCCCATCGGGTTGTGGTGAAGATTTAATAAAATACTGTGTATAAAGTGTTTAGCAAAGTACTATGCATATAGTAAGCATTAAATACACACTATTACCTCTATGATCTTTGCCATTATAATGATTTTTAATTATCACTTTATTCCCTTTCCTCCTATTTTAGCCGAAAGTATCTGGAGGTAATGACTTCATGCAGTCAGGGGATTGCCTTAGGAGCTTTTGTAGAAATAAATAATTTCCAAAAGGAATTAAAACTTATTTCATCATACCTTTCAACCATTCTAAGATCACCAGCCAAGATGATCTTAGAACTCAGCCAGAACCAGAAATTAGGAAGTCCCCCAAAATCCCCAAATCCTCCCCTCAAATTCCCTGAATCACTCTTCCCTTCTTTCTTTCCTTGTCACCTACACAGCGTTTCTCCTGCTCTATTCAGCTTTCCTTTTCCAGAAGTAGCCACTGCCATCATCTGAAGTGGCTAGACTTTAGTTCGAAACAACAGGGAGACAAGACCGTGTTTCTTTGACAATGCTTATTTGCTCAGCCAGTGAAAAGCGAAGATTTGCATGGAAGAGGTGAATCTTAGGTATAGCCAAAATAGCTATTGTCACTTTATCACCAACCAGAGTGAACTCCTTGCTGCCTATGTCCCCAGTATGAAGAGAACAGCCCTGATACTGAGGAATAGTTCAGAGGACTTGCTAGCCTTTTTTTTTTTTTTCAACTGGCAAAAATTTAAATGTTTACTACAGAGTTCTGTGTCTTCTGTGCAGACAACCAGCAGTGAAGGGTGTGAGTAAAAGCATTATGGAGGATGTCATTAGCATGCAGTAAAGCACCATGCCTACACCTGTGCACAGGCTTGGAATTATTTTTTTAATCCCAGCTCTGCCATTTACTAACCATGAGAAAAAGACTGTCACCTCACATATTTCAAGATACTCTCCTATCCATTAGCACAGATGGTCTCCATGGTAGCTAGCCCTGCAGTACCGGGAGTAGATACCACTTATTCCAATAAACTAAGAGTCTGAGAGGTTGTCAGTTGCTCAAAATTACATGTCATTTCATCATGGATCTAAGAGTGACACCTCAAGCAAGTTATTTGACCTGTTGGATCTTCAGTTTTCATAGCTGTATTTCTTTCTGATAGGGTTTCTAATGATTCAGGATAGAAATAATGTTTACAAAGTATGAAGCCCATAGCCTGGTACCTACTAAATGCTTCATAAATATTTCTGAAGATAATGATTATTTGGATGATGATAATGATGATCTATACAGAACAGTATGTGAAAAGACCCTGCACAGCAATTAGGAGACCTGACAGGTCTTAGTCCCCAGATCTGTCCCTAATCGTTAAGCTATCTTGAGTTACTGTCTCAAATTCTGCAGCAGAATTTTCTACTGGGCTCATATGGAGTTAATATCATCTGCCTCTAATTGC